CGGGGGCGGCGGGGGGAGGGGGCCCGAGCCGGGAGCCGAGCGGAGGCGGGGAGGGGGCCGCGCCGGAGGCGGGGACGGGAAGCCCAGGGCCTGGCGACTGGGGTTCCCGCGGGGTCTGGGGCGGCGTGGGCGTGAGGTGTAGAGGGCGGGGACCAGGGGGCTGTATCGGGGTGCGGGCACCCTAGGCCGAAGGGGTTGGGGGAGGTGGCTGATACAGGGGGGCCACGCCGCGCTTCCGCTGCGGGCGAGCCTCGCAGACCACCGGGCTGATCCTGGAGCTGGGTGGGGGCCGCGTCGGGGCGAGAAGACCGCGGGCTGATGGGGAGGGAGAGAGAAGCAGAATTGATGTCCGGGGGTGGAAATCTGCGGACCCCAACTCCAGACCCGGAGGAGGTGACGGGGTCAGCCTGGCCCCAGCGTTGAGGGTCGGAGGGTGGCCTCCGGACCCGAGCAGGGCGGGGCTGCGGCGCTACGGAAGCACCCCCGAAATCAGCCCTTATAACCGCGCCCAGGGTGTTCTCCTCAGCCCCCATCGCGACCGAGTTTTGGGAGTCGGTCCGGACCCCCAGGCCGGGCTTCTGCGGCCTTCTAGACCTTGGCTGGCCCAGCTCTGCCTCTGGTCGCCCCCTCCCCGTCACCTTAGCGACAGCAGGTTGGGGGCGCGACTTATGAGGAAGGGCTTAGGGGAGGGGGCGCCACTAGTCTCCACCTGCGACAGGAAAGTGAATTTTAGTTTCACACGTTGTCGTGGCAACGCCGGAGGGGGTGAAGAGTGGGCGGGGAGGGAAGCGCAGAGAGTGAACCAACTCAGGCGCCGCCCGCGTGGCGTGCTAGCAGCCTTAGCCCGGCGCTGCCTCGGAAGTGCCCAGCCCGCGAGCGCCCGCTCCCCTGGTCTAGAGAAAGTGCAGCTCCTGAACGGATGCACTACCCTGCTCTCAGTAGGGTCTGCTCTGGCCTTCCACTGTACTCTTCCCAACATCCCAGCCCCTAAGTGGCACTGATCTCTGGCTGCGCACGCTGGACAGTTTTCAAGGAGCAGCCTGACCGGGAACTCTGCCAGTGGCAGAATGCATCCCCTAAGCCCCAGCCTCCCCAGCCCTCTCCATGAGCAGCCCTGGAGCGCCCACAGAACTGGTTATTCCTGAGTCTCCCAGGAATAACCTTGGACTGCCCCAGCTCTATACACACACTAGAGCCTCCCCATACTCCTATGACTTCCTGAGTCACTCCAACAACTCCACTCCCTACAGACCACCACCTTCCCCTCCGGAGTGTTCCACGACTCCAGCACAAGACTTTCCTGACTAACATCAACCCCTCAGTACTGTCCTCTTTGAACCACCTGGCTCATTCACTCCCCCATTACTACTCCCCTAGGAACAATCTTTGCCTTCCCAGGATCCACTCACCAGACAGAGCTAAGTCTCCAGCGCTTCTGTCCCTCTGTTCCTGCCTGTTTTCAAGCCTGAGTGGACCCTCCCTGTAGGGGGAAGTAAAGCCTGATGAGGCCCTGACCTTCAGGCCCCTCCCCAAGGCTACTGGTCAGACCCAGCGGTAGAGCTTAGGGTTCCCTAGGGGCTGGGGCAGGATGGGAGGGGGAGGCAGGAGCAGGAAGGAGTAGGCCCTTATCTGCAGGAAGCACCTTGGGAAGCACAGGGCTGGGTTTCCTGTGGCCCAGCCCAGGAGAGGAAACTCTGCTTCCTGGCAGTGGCGGCTCCACCATCTTCCTCTCTTGTCTCTTTCCTCTCTCCCTTGACCCAGACCCCAGCTCCCTCATGGCTATTCCCTATCCTTTCCACCCCAACCTCCACCCACCTTTACTTCTACCAGCTCTCCTCCATGAACTAGCTGCCTACTGATGGAGAATGCTGACCAGAATCCACCAGTGATGAGACTGAAAAGGAGGAATCCCATGTCCTCATCCATAGCAGCCCGCAAGCCAGACCTTGATGTGAGTGAACCCAGAGCCCTGGGTCTTACTCCCTGATGCTTGCTGTCTGAGACTAGACCTCATGAGCTAGCCATTCTGTGGCCCTTGCTGTCAACTTTCTTGGGAAAATCTCACACCTTTGCTAACCAATACCAGCAGATCGATGGTCTCTGGTCTCGGCTAGCCTTCACACTGCTAGAGTGACACCAAGCTTGTGTCCTGCACAGTGCCTGGTCCACAGTAAATGAATCTCAGGACCCACAGTCCTCCAGCCCACTGCCTGCCAAGTAGCAAAAATAACAATGTTCAGAAACACTTAAACATTAATGTCTTCCTAGTGGGCTTCTTAAAGGAGGAATTCAAAGGGCAGAGGTATCTTAGTACTTACTTCGTTGGGAATAAGCCCAGGCTCCTCACCTTCCCCGTTGAGAATAATCGGAGGCTCCTCACCGTCCCCAAAGCTTCATGAAGAGCCCAGCCCTCAGGCCCACCAATCCCCATCTCTCAGGCAAAGGGACTCTTTTCCTGGCCCTACCTTCAAATACCAGGGCCTTCTGCTTAATCCGCCCCACTTCCAGCAAAGTCAAAATTCTGGAAAGATCCTTCTTTTCACCATCTATACTTCTTCCCCACCTTCTAGTGCACTTTTCATCCAAACAGCTTCAAAGATCCTGGGGGCAGAGAGAGATGTATGACCACTGAATCCAGAATAGCGCCTGGCACATGGATAAGGACAAATGTGTACCTGTAGTCCTCAATCTCCTACCCTGAAGCTACCCCAGGCCCAAAGGGCATTGCCAAGGGTCTAGTGCAATGTGACTTCTGCTGCTTAAAGCATTTGCCCTGAGACACCCAAACTTGCAGTGACAGTCTCTTCCATGCTCCCTTCCACATGGCAAGTATTCTTCAGTACCCTTGGTTGGCCTTACTTTGCCTACAGATTTCTCTATTAGGTGGTTTGACTCACTTCATCTATCACTCCTGCAGGCCCACTTCTCCCTCTTATTTCTCAGTCCACACTGGCCTATCCCCTGGGTTACCAAGTCCCTGGACCTTTTGTTGAAGGCCCCACAGGCATACTTCTGTTCAGTCTCACCTGGCTCCTTCTGAAACTCCTGCTTCCTTTAATACAACGAGGTTCTGCTCCCAGGCCATCACCTAGATGTGCTCCTCTCCCAGTCTACATCTCCCTGTGTGGACTCATTTCACCCCACTCTCCTTTACTCCAGAACTCTTCTGCACTGATCTGCTTTCTCTCCTCTAAAGCTGCATTGTCTTCTAACATACTGTGATTCGCCTATTTGTTGCTTAGCATCTGTCTCTCCCTGCCAGAAGGTGGGCTCCCTATGGAGACAGGTCTTGGCCTGTCTGGTTCTGCTGTGTCCAACCTCTGTGCACAGAGCAGCTCAGCTTGTTTGCTACATGAATAAACGAAAGATTAAACCACAAATTCACACCCAACTTCATCTCAGACCCTCTCGGCTCTGGAGCAGCTGAACATGGCAAGAACCTTGAGTGCTAAGTTGATCATAAAGTTGTCTGGTTCCATTGTACTTTTGTGAATACTTTTTATTTCTGGTTATATAATATCTAAAGGTATAGCAGACTCTATTTCATCTTCATTCTGATTTTTTTTTTCTAGGAAAAAGAATCTTTTCAGATTCAGCTTTTTGGTGCTTTTGTTGTTGCTTGTGTCAGCCTCCAGGTTTTCCTTTTTTGTTCATCTTTTTCTTTAACTTTATACTATTATGTTTCCCTCTACATTTGTGTTTTGCTGAATTAATTGAGATGGATACTTACCTGATTCATTTCTAGTTTTTTTTTCTCTTATTTGTGACAGTTTTGGTGAAGGTTTGATGATTTATGGTTATGAGTTCATACTGGACTTGGGTTTATGTGAGACTCCTGACTAACCTAAATGTGTCCCTTCAGAGGAAGACCACTAGCCCAGGGTATCTTTTTATGTGTTCCCACTCCAAAACTGATAGGGACAGGCAGTGGTTACAGTTTCATACACAGGGAAACTTTTTCACCAGTAATGACAAATCTTTAAAAAAACTGCTTAAGTTAAAAAAGAAACATGTGGCCAGGTATGGTGGCTCATGCCTTTAATCCCAGCACTCAGGAGGCAGAGGCAGGCGGATCTCTGTGAGTTCAAGGCCAGCCTGGTCTACATAGTGAGTTCCAGGACAGCTGGGGCTACAGGGAGACCCTGTCTCAAAAAAGACAAAAAAAAAAAGAAATATGTAACAGCAACTGTTGAACACTAAGTATGTCATTTTAAATATATTAAATGTATTAACTCATTCAATGGTCACAATCACTGGGAGCTACTTATGGTGGTGCAAGCCTGCAGTCCAGCACTCAAGGATGAGGCTTGCCTCATCAAGATCAGAAGTATGAGATCCAGGCCAGCCTGGTTGTTGGGCTTAGCAGCAAGCATCTTTGCCCACTAAGACATCTCACCAGCCCTCCAAATAATTTTTTAAACCCTCAAAAAAACTATGATTTCATGCCTCACATTTTCATAATCTGTGGATTTTTTTTTTTAGACAAGGTCTTACTGTGTAGCTCTAGCTGGCCTGGAACTAGCTATATAGACTGGGCCAGCCTGGAACTCACAGAAATCAGCCTGCCTCTGCCTCCTGAGTGCTGGGATTAAAGGTATGTACCACTACACCAAGTAGGGTCTCACTATGTATCTCAGACTGCTCTAGAACTTGCAATCCTCCTGCCTCAGCCTAAACTAGGATTATAGGTTTATACCACTATATGTGGCTTGATTTTTCATTAATATAGAATCCAATTCTTTTTTATCTTATTGTTACTATTCTTTGGCTCCTGTCTCCTATCACAACTGTCCCCGTGTTTTA